GCGATACCCATCAAACGCGAGCACTGGCGGGGTTCGGGAGGGCCCCTGTGGGGGTGCTGTGGGGTGCGGGGGGACCCGGGGGTGCAAGGCTACTCTCTGAGCTCTGCAGAAGCCTCGGGGTCCAGTGCCAAGGGGAGGCCGTGGCGGGAGGATGCACCGAGGTGCCCTCAGGGCCTGCGGACTGTTGATGAGGGTGGGACAGCTCTGGGGACAGGGCCGAGGCCCTGGGGACAGGGCGATGTCAGACTCCAGCCAGGCCTGGCCGTCCCTTCCAGGCTGGGAGTTCAGCCTGGAGAAAAGGAGGCTGAGGGGAGACCTTCTCGCTCTCTCCAACTCCCTGAAAGGAGGGTGTAGCCAGGGGGGGTCGGTCTCTTCTCCCAAGGAACAGGCAATGGGACAAGAGGAAACGGCCCCCAGTAGCGCCAGGGGGGGCTCAGGTTGGATATTAGGAAAAATTTTTACACTGAAAGGGTTATCAAGCCTTGGAACAGGCTGCCCAGGGAAGTGGTTGAGGCACCATCCCTGGAGGTGTTCAAAAGACAGGTTGACATGGTGCTGGGAGACCATGGGGGTGATGTTTTTTTTGGTCAGAGTTGGGTTCATGGTTGGACTCGATGATCTTGAAGGTCCCTTCTAACCTAGATGATTCTGTGATTCCAGGAGGTGCCTCAGCACCACAGCACTCAGCCAAACTGGGGGTGTCAGAGGTATCCCCCAGCCCCCTGTTGAGATGCTCCTGGCTTTTTCCACCTGCCCGTATTAGTCAAGGACTCCCCTGCAGCCTGGTACGGGCTCATGGGACACAAGGCTGAAGCAGGGTCAAGGGCAGCATCTCCCCTTGCCTTCTGCAAATTGACTAAGCCCCACACAACTGGGGTTTCCAGCCGCATCATGCCGTGAGCGTTGGAGAGCTCTGCTCTTTATGTGCTGATGGGCAATATCACATGCATAGGAACGCTCTGGGAATTTCTGGGAGCAGCATCATCAGGCTTGGGTGGGGAGTGTGGGGGACCTGCATGGTGGTGCTGTGAATGTAAAAGAAATCCACTCTTATCGGTGCTCCGAATACTGAGATTGTGGTGTGGGCACTGCGTTTTTTCTTACCATCTTTTTGCAGAAGAGCAGAGAAGATGGCTCCAGGAACGCCAGGCAGCCAAAGAAAAGCTGAAATGCCCGAATGCAAAGTAAGTGCACTCCTGAAAGGAGGTTGTAGAGAGGCAGGGATTGGTCTCTTTTCCGAAGTCACAGGTGATGGTACGAGAGGGAATTGCCTCAAGTTGCTCCAGGGGAGGTTCAGATTGGATATTAGGAAAAATTTTTACACTGAAAGGGTTATTAAGCCTTGGAATGGGCTGCCCAGGGAAGTGGTTGAGGCATCATCCCTGGAAGTATTCAAAAGACGGGTTGACATAGTGCTTAGAGACATGGTTTAGTAATGTGGGGGGTTCTTTTGTATGGTTTTCTCTTGGGTTTTTTTTTAGGTTTTGTTTGTTTTTTTTTTTAATCAGAGTTAGGTTGACGGTTGGACTAGATGATCTTAAAGGTCCCTTCCAACCGAGACGATTCTAAGTGAGGAGGATGTTGGACTTGAGGTAAAGGTCCTTTCTGACCCAAATCACTCGGTCATTCTCTGAGATAAAGCTGACCTCCCGGCTTGCCAGGGTCTGCCTTCTTGGTGCAGCGATTCAGGAGTCTAGGGAGAATCTCCTGGCAGTGCTCCAGAGTTACTGGCAGTGGGAGCAAAGGAATGCTCTGAGTGTTGATATTTCCCGCTGGTTGATATTGTCTCTTCTGGGTATTTTCTGAGTCTCTGTGAAACTTTCTCATCTCAGCTCTTGGGTCTTGCAGAACAGGCCCTTTTGCCAACAGCTCAGCTTCGTAACTGGGTCTTGAAGAAAGGATGGTTCAAGCCTCACTGCTGCTTTTTAATGGCAGCTTTCAGTGACCTTCTGGGATAGTCTAATGTTAGGCAGGGGCATTTTCAGTGCATTTAAAAGGAAATAGGTACAACCACCTGTTAAATGAGTTACCTGGCTCCGGGCCCCTGTTGCTGCCTTGCTTGCTTCCTCTGGCTGCAGGCAGATTTGCTGCTGTGAGAACAGCAGCCGTTTGCAGGCTGTGGGTAGTGAGGCACCTTTCTGCAAAGCTTTTAAATGAAGCTGCTAATGCGCTTGGGAAACCTGAACACTTGGAAGACTCCCCGTTGCACTGAGTATTTCTCATGACATTGCGGTGCAAAGGAAGCCATAAAACTGCTTTGTGGGGAGAAGTTAAAGGGAAACAGGATCAGAGACCAGAATGAGCAAACTGGTCCCTGGTGCCAGGCTCTTGAAAACACCACTAATACAATAGAAACAAGGAGAGAAGATTCATGATCTTTATTTATGGCATAGTACGCCACTAGTTTAGAAAAGAGGACAATACCCTAACTCTTCAGGCTCTTTCATTACAAAATAAGATCTGCACAGGCATTAATCTCCCCTAAGGCTGAGCTGCTGGGTGCGGAGCGGAGAGGTGGAAGAACATTGCAGCTGGCTGCTGTCAGAGGGCTCTGATTCAGGGAGGAGGAGGACAGGATGGGGGAAGCTGCAGTCAGGGCTGCTGTCCCACCTCCCCGCTTCACAGCCAGTGCCTGGGCAGCTGCGGAGCTCATGAACCAGCCACCGCCCCAGGGCTGCAGCTCATCCTGGTAGAGTAAACCCTGCTTCTGTGCTCCACTACAGCGCTGTGACCTGCAGCACGGCAGTGGCTGGCTCCGAGGCACCTCAGCTGCCTACAGCACACAGCGAAGTCCGGATGGAACCGGGAGCAGCAGCCTACAAACCTGCTGCCTGCCAGCCCCCTCTGCCTGCAGGAACTAGTTGGTTTCTTTTGGAAGCCATAAGTTTTGTGACAGCCTTGGATGCCACAAATGTTTTTTTTTTGCTTTATGATGCTTTTCTGATGGCACAAAGAAGAAAAAGAATTAACATTACACGGTACTTCCTTGACAGCTTTTTGATTTCCAAAAGCTTCTCGTAAGCTCCTGTGACTGAGACAACCAGCAGTGTTTTAGATATTTAACCTTTTCTGACACAGCTGTTAAATAACCTGATATCTTGTTTAACTTCCTACAGACCCTTTTTAAAGGACCAGACAAATCACATGAACCCACCCTTAGAGCCAGTCTCTAAACTAGAGCATGTAAGTAGAAATCTTTTGAGTTTTGTATTTCATGCTTGAAGTGAGCCTGGGCAGAACAGCGTTCCCAAATCAGGTTAGTGAGCTCCTGACCTCCAATGGGGTGCAGTCAACAGATTGGTAAACAGCTGGCAATAAGTTATTAGAAATAATTATTTTTCAGAGGGACTTAGTGTAGGAGACTTATCCTCTGCCCATGTGCTGGCAGGTGTTGTGGTGGTCTGTTGACAACTGCTTTATCACTTTTGCCTTCGTGTGGGCGTCCCCTGGGCTAGTGGGGCTGGGGCAGGAGCTGTCAGGGGTTAACTTCGGGTCTCTCTTTGGGGCTGAGGTTCCCTTTGCCTCTCCAGGTTGATAGGAACAAGAGCGTTCTCAGAAATGTGGCGAAGGGCCCTCAGAGGGATGGCAAGCTTGGTGCCAAATCCACACATGTTGGCCACGCTGCTCCACAGAAGTCTTCAAATACATCCCAGAGAGCAGCAGTGCGTCCAGAGCTGCCAAGGAAGAGCACAAAGCCTCCCATGGGGTTTGTGCCAAGCATGAGCTACCGCACACAGCCCAGAGGGGGGCTACAGGCTTCAAACTCTGGTCACCTAAATCCAGAAAGGAACAAGAAGCCTGCACAGGAGACTGTCACCATGGCAGTACCTCAGGCTGGAGGTGACCCCTCTTCTATTGAGGTACCTTGCTCCCAAAATGAGAGGCTGCAGGACAGGCTGGTCTGCAATAAGGAGAACATCCGAGCACAAGCACCTGTACACCCTGTACAGAGCAGAGTTTTTCGGCCTGATGGAAACAATCTCAGGAACAAGAAAGACTTGGCTCACAGGCAAAGCTCAGCCATGACGTCAAGAACCATCATGGGCCCAAAGAACAGAATTAATAGCCACCAGGCTAAGGAAGAGCCAATTCAAGATAAATTCAGGAAAACCCTGCCAGGCTCAAAGAGCGCATCTCAAAAACCAAGTGTCAAAACTCAGCCGTCACAGCCCCCTCGGTTACTTACTGCTTCTACTAATTTGCTACATAAAAAACCAGGGGCAAACCAGGAAAAAACTACTACGGCAAGGGAACCCATAGGAAAGCCACCCAGCACACTTCCAGCAGGAGGTCTCAGTAGACCCCCCCAACTGAAAAGATCTCCCACAAAGCCTCTGGCCTCCAGCAGGCCCCAGGGCACTGCAAACCTGAAATCCACCCTGAAACCAGGTGGCACTGTGCCATGGCAAAGGCCCACGGCTACAAGGGAGGCGGGGAGGAAGGACGTGAGAATGGTGCCTCCTGGACGCACAGCGGCATTCCGAGTGACAGTCCCCCTAAACCAGCCTCACAGCATACATGGCTCCAAAACTCAAGCAACTGAGAGTGATTTTACCAGTAGGAGAGAGAGGTTTAAACCAAAGCTGCCAACGGCAAGTGGAATCCAGGCTAGGCGTGTTCCCAAGACCCCATCGGCTGCGGACCGTAAGTAAGTTGCAGCTTTGTCCTTGCCTCCAGGGGACAGCAGAGTTTAAAGTGTTTAACTGGGTGAACCAGCACCAACCTGCTGGAAATGGGGTCCAGAGTCCCCTTATCAGTGAATGCCTGCTTGGAGCTTGGTGCTGCAGGCAAGAGGATGGTGGGGATGAGATTTGGTGGGACCCTGCTCACTGATTCGCCAAGTAAGAGGAGAGTGTGTGGCCACTCTCCTGTTTTATCTCAAGGCACAGTTAAATTTGAGAGGGTTTTCCTTTCCCAGCCTGAAGCTTGGATGCCTGTTTCGGATAGATGTACTAGTTCTTCCTGAGCAGCTGAAGTTGACTAGAGGGAGACTCCAAGGGAGAACAGTAGCCTGGCAAGTGCTGCTGGTCTGCTGGGGTGGTAACTCTGATCCCTTGGTCCTTTAACAGGAAACAGCTGGAGGAGTGGTTGGCATCCAAAGGCAAGATATACAAGCGACCACCTATGATGCTGCTTCAGAAAAAGGCAGTGAAGCTGTCCTGCAGAAATGTCAAAGAGAAGCAAGAGAAATCAGAGCAGCTCTGCCTGGAAAAGATCAACAACATACTGACTGAGTGCCTGGAGCTTGCTGAGGAGGTGGGAATGGGAAAGGAGCAGCTTGAACAGGCTCCTCTTCTCCTGGAGCACCCCAAGAGATGAGCACCATGTTCCTCCAGCAGCACAGTGGGGTTTAGAGCAAGCATTCCTGCTTGCTGGCTTGGCTGCAGTTGTCAGAGGGGTAGCATCACATGTAGGAAAAGTACTTGTGGAGTTACGGATAGGCCAAACGCACACGGTGAGATGTGCTAACGGGGAAAATGGAGTGACACTCAGTCGCAGGGCTTGCATGTGTCATTGCCAGTGCCCTGGTACCTGGCAGTCCAGCCTGCAGCTGCAGTTTCTGCAGCAGCAGCCCAGGCTGATTGAGCTGGCCTGGGGTATGTCCCTGGCGGACCTCACAGCTACTGTGAAGTATCACCTCTGGTAATACTTGGCCACTGGTCCTGCCCCAGGGTTTAGTGGCTCCATTAGTGCCAGCACTGAAGAGTCTATCCCTTGCCATCCCTCTGAAATTCTAGACTCATTTTATCAAGGGGAAAATAGAGGCAAGAAAGCTATTATCTGTCCATGGTCATGTAAAAGAACTTGCAAAACCAAACTCTTTATGCGCTCCTTTTCCTAGAGAGCGCTGGGAGAGCAGTTACGCACTGACTGCTCCCCCGGTGCACACCTCTGGCCCTTGCCATCGACACCTTTCTCTGGGGCCGTGCCCTTCTTGTAGGGTGTCCGGGCAGAAGACATCTCTGCAGTGCTGTCTCAAGTGCCCCAGGCAGAGAAATTTGCCAAGTTTTGGATCTGCAAAGCGAAACTCCTCGCCCGGGGTGGCCCTTTTGACGTGACGGGGTTGTACAAAGCAGCAGTCTGCGCTGGTGCTGTGGTGAGTGAGATGTGCATCTCTTCTGTAGCTCCCCGTGTTCCCTGCCTCTGCGCCAGTGGATTTCCTTGAGATCCAGGGGTCAGATTTTTGGGATGAGTTTAGCAACACTAGTCACTGGTGAAAAAGCCTTTTAGGGCCGCCAGTCCCATTTTGTCCCACTGAAACACCTTTAATCAGGCAGTGCCATGCAGGCACAAATGGGGCCAGGGGAAGGACAGGGAGGACACACACCCTGCAGCGTGTGGAGCTGTGGCTGGAAGCAATGTGACAACAGCTCTGTGCCACTCTGGGCAGTGTAACTGCAACATCTGGTGGGATTTAGCAGCGTAAATGCTGCATGGGGTAGGAGCCTGCCTGGCCATGCCTGTGTGCTGACAGATCGCGCTGGGAGAAGGGAAACTGCAGCCTTTTGCCTCTGGCTCCAGCATGGGGTGTCACAATGCAACAAAAACCATTTTTCTTATTTAGTTGTTACTCTGGTCTCTGTTCTCAAGTCAGGCCTGCCTTGATCTACATTCTGCTTTTCCTGCAGCCACTCCAGGAACTCAGAGAAGTTGTCCTTGATATTTTGAAGGCTGCAGATCAAACATCAGAAGGTAACATGTTGGGGGGGTGGGCTCACTGGCAGGCTGGAGCACGGGCAGGCTGGAGTTCCCTGATGCTGCGGGCAGGGGAGCAGTCCGGTTTACAGTCTGTCCCAGCGCCTTGTGTCCCTTTTGACTTTGATGGAGACCGAGTGTTGTGAAAGTCTGCAATTCTGGTCTCAAAACTGGGACAAGATTCCTCTGCCAGAGCTGGAAGCTGTCCTAGCTCATCACACCTCTGCAGCAAGGTGCCCTCACCTGTGCCTGGAGTGCTGTGGTGTAATACCTCCCAAGCTGCTGCTCTCTGCAACTGCACTGCCCTTTTCCTCTCCTGTCAGGAGAAAAGGCTGAGCAGCCTGTTCCTCAGGAGCCTACAACGCATTGCCAGAGTGAGAGGCAGGATGTGGCAGTGACTCCCTGCCTGGTGAGGAGGTCTCTGGCCAGCCTGCCTGTCTCCATCAAGTTACAAGTTACATCTGCATCCAGGTAAGGCTAAGCTGCCTGCTCCTGGCAGCAAGTGCCTTCTCTGTCACTGCTTCTCTGCAGGGTTAACCTAAAGACTCTTGTTCTCTCCACAGAGGAAAGGAGTTGCTGGAAGGCCAGGAGCTGAAATTCCTGACGCCGGTGCGGCGCTCGCTGCGGATAGAGCAGGTTGGAAGCCGCTACCCAGAGATGCTGAAGGACCATGACCCCGTGGTGTCATCCCTTAGCGAAATCCTGGATGCTGAGGAGGAGACTCAGTTCTTCTTCCGGAAAAACAAGGCTTTGCCAGAGGTGACAGAGCTGGAAGGTTTAAGTTTGTATCCCCCAGAGTGCTGCTGAGGGATTCCCAGCAGGGTGCAGGCTGCTCTCTCCCACAGGCTGCGTTGCATGCACCACTGACTCTTGTTGCCTTCAGATGTAAATATGTAGTGGTGGCACATAATAAGTCTGTTTTAAATATATAGGCACTGTTTATAAATACATAAAAACTTGCAGTAGAGATGCAGTGTGGCTTAGTGAGTAGTGTGCAAGGTCCAGGGTTGGAGACAAGGGCTATGTCCCCTGGGACTGCCCTTGGCTCCTCTGCTGCGACTCATGTCCTGATTTTTCCTGCCGTAGGATGATGTCAGTCAGACTCTGCAGCGCTCTGGGCAACTTCCAGTGTTTTGGAAGTGATGTCTTGAGGGATTTCCTCCAGAGCTGCATTGTGCCTTACTTGGGCGGCATCTGGAGGGTCCCGGCTGAGAGTCATGTGCAGACCTGATGTCTTGAGTTGAGGGTCACCACTCGTGAGAGCTGAAGGCACTGGAGTACCTGTGGGACCCAGTGGCTGCTGCACAGGCCCCAGGGAGGCTGAAAGCAGCACAGTCAAAGGGTGCAGAGGTCCTTAGGATGCAGCCATCTAGGCTCCCAGACCCTGGGCAGGGATGGGGGTCTGGGATGGGACAGCTGAGCCCTGGGAGTGTGCTCTGGGCCCTACAGCAGCCCCTCGAGGGCGGTTCGCACCCCAGAGAAGCAGAAGCACTGGCTGCTGGTGACAGGACGGGTGCTGGGAGCCTGCACAGTTTCCCTGCTGTGAGGACTGAAGTGCTGTGGCTGCCATGAAGGGTGGAGGGGAGCTTCCTTGTCACCCTCCTGTCCTCAGCAAGTGGCAGTCTTGTCCTTATCCCACCCTTTTGCCTCCTCCTGACACAGCCACCACCAGCGTTGGCTCAGCATCTTTATTGAGAACTCTGGTGCTGGAAGAAGTCAGAACAGGATCTGGAAGTCCCAGAAGGCCTGGCCCCTTTCTCCGGGGTGCAGATCAGTGCTGGCAGACGGGGGGGCATGTCTCGGGGTGGCCACCCTCTGCCCAGGGGCTTGCAGTCGTTCCAGCTGCTGCCCAAGGATTTGGGAATTGCCCTTTGTCCCCAGGCTCTAGGGCAAAGCAGTATTCCTTTAAAATAGCCAATTTTATGTCTTTCCAGTGCCGGGAGTTTGAGTATTTTTTATAAATAGAAAAGGGTAGAAAACAGAAGAGGGCGATAGCAGGGAAAAGAGGTTCCCAGGGAGCAGCAGTTGCCTCCAGAGCCCTGGAGGCATATGACCTTGCCTGAGCCATATCCACCCGCCTTGCCCTGAAGTCCAGCACCACAGTGGCCCCTGGGGCCAGGCACCAAAGCTGGAAGAGCCGGAGCTGCTGGGACCACAAACTGGTGCAAAGGTGGTCCAGCTGTGTCCGGCTCACCCCAGCATTGGTGACCCCAGACTGGCATCGAATTGGCTGGGACACATAGCTGATGCCAGGGGGGAGCATGAGGGAAAGTGGGGGGCACGGGGCAGCCCCCCACTTCAGGGACCTGGCTCCTGGTGCATGTGTTAGAAGGGGCACTGCTGCTCGGGCAGAGGTGTCACATGGGGCATGAGCCAGGGCCACCAGCCATCCTGTGGCCACTGGAGGCAGTGACTGACCATGGGTGGCTTTGGTCTGCCAACTGGCAGTGGTCTGGGGCCACTGAATGCCCCCATGTGTTTTGGCACCTGCCAGCTCAGCAGCTGTTGGTGCCAGGGTGGGGTCAGGCTTCTCCGTCATCCTCCTCCCCACTAGAGTCCGGGGGGACCCCAGTGACCTGAGACAGAGTTGGGGGACTCAGTGGGCACAGGACCCCACTGGCATCAGAGTGCCAGTGCTGGGACTCCCACATCCTGCCCCCCTGTCCCCTGACACCCACCTGATGGCTGGGGGGGCCATGCTGGGCCAGCCAGGGTGCCAGGGCTGTGCCCACCTCCCCTGCATCCAGGCGGCCATGCTCCACTGTTGACTCGTGTGCCATCTGCAACAGGAGAAGGCATGCAGAGAGGGGCCAGGGCCAGCCAGCTGAGGGGCTGGGTGCCCGGTGAATGCCCCCATCAGCCCTGTAACCCGTCCTCAGGCAGGGAAACTGAGGCACGGTGGGTGAGCAGGGCAAGGGCTTGCATACCAGGACAGGGGGTGCCCGGAAGAGGTAGCTGAAGGGGTAGTAGAGGAAGTTGATGAAGGAGGCAGCATAGAGGTCAGCGTAGCGCATCAGCTGGTTGGCAAAGAGCGTCTGGCGTGAACCACAGCGGAAGAGGCTCCCCATCTTCCCATAGCACATGTCCATCTCATGTGTGACTTTCTGTGGGTGCAGTAGGATGCTCAGGGCACCCAGCTACCCCCCTGGGGAGGGACTGGGAGGGGGCTGCCGGAATGGTGCCCTGGGCATCACCTGGATCCGACGCTTGATGGAGCTGATGTCTGGGCGCTCGCTGCTGCCACTGTCCAAGTGTCTGGAGCGGGAGAGAGACAGGGGGCTCACCTGGAGGGTCCCACCATGGGTGCCTGCACCCCCCCACCTGCCCTGTGCCCACTCACTGGTACAGCTCTGCCAGGAAGAGGTCTAGGTTCCGCAGCTCCTCAAACAGCTCTGCAAGGGCAATGGGGACAGATCAGCATGGGCAACATCTCCCGCTGCCTGCCACAACTGACACTGGGGGGGTGGGGCACATCCCACCGGGGCCAGCTTTGCCATTGAGGTGGGGCAGGAGGCTCTGGCCACTTCCACCAGCGTGGAGCACACTCAGATGTGTCCCAGGCTGGGCAGGGCCTGTGTCCCTGGCTGAGTGCTGCTCACCACTCTTCTCCGTCCAGACCTGCAGCTCCCGGGCCAGCTCGGGCACCACCAGGAAGGTGCGCCAGCCCTGCCGCTTCTTGGACTTGAGGATGTCCCCGAAGATGTGGTCCCCCATATAGAGAATGTCTTTGCCCTTCACGCCCAGCAGGTCACACACCATGTCCGAGGAACCTGTGGGTAGTGGCACGTCAGCGTGACACACGTGCAGGCACGTCCCCTGGCGCTGCCCACCGAGCCCAGCCGGGCGCTCACCACCAGAGTAGACTGCGCAGTGCTGGAGGGGGCCTGTGTATGTCCCAATGCGCAGCTTCCCTGTGTCCTGTGAGATGAGAAGACCCCAAGATAATGGGGGGATACCATTACCTGTGCCCACCCAACAGCAAATCCCCTCCCCTAGCTGTCCCCATGGGAGCCCCCATCACGCCCAGACGGTGCCCAACACCCCCTGCAGTGATGGAGGGGTCCCCACCGTGTTCACTTGGCGCAGGACAGTGCCCTCTGCGAAGAAGAGCGGTTTGCGGGTGTCCACCACGATGAGGTCAAAATAGGATCGCCAGGGACGCTGAGGGGTCTCGGCCTGCTGGGGGTCGGGGGGGGTGGAGGGTGTGAGGTGTCAGGAAGGGGCTGCTGATGACACCATGTACCCCCCCAACCCAGGGAACAGACTCACCTTGTCCCCGTCGCTGAAGTCAAAAAGGTAGGACATGATGGCCTGCAAGGACACCTGGCACCTCCACCACCATCCCCAGGAGGACAGATCCCCTGCTTGTGCTCTGCCCCCTGCCCAGGGCCCCCCCGGGGCAGGCTGAACCAGGGGTGGGGCGTGGGGACAGACAGAGACACCCCCTACTCACGTCGGTGTAGTTGTAGTCGCTGTTGGTGGCCAGAAAGACCTTCCCCACCTCCTTCATGCGGCTCAGCAGCAGTGGCACCCGGGGCTGGTGAGGGGTAAGTCATTGTGGGGGGGGCATGGGGATTGGGGTAG